TACGCTCTCCTCCCTCCTCTCTCTCTCTCTCTCTCTCTCTTCTCCAAGATACACACGGCTGTCGGCAAGTTACACGGACACACTCGTTCTCCCTTATTGCGAAACGGGCCGTCCGATAACCATCTTTTCGAGAATTTCGGCCCCCTTTCATAAGTTTCATCGCCGCGGTTTACTACGACCGTGCTTGCTTTCGGGACACGACCGCACCTCCGACACGGATTTCGCGCCGATGATGGATCCTCGCCTCTCCCGAGTCGTTTTTTTCGGCCCAACTTTGCCCGTGGTCCATCTCTCGATGGAACGTCGCTCGAGAAAAATGTTAAGATCGAATCGGGCGATCGGTGAGATACGGAGAGAGAGCGTTTCACTCGGCGAGACGAGGATTCCTCGGGACCAATTACAATATCGCGAGTGGGGATTTAATCCCTGCCGTTACAAGGAACGGTCGCCTCGAAACGAGCGAACGCGAAAACTATTCCAAGGTTAACACGCGTTGCGCCTGCGCGCGTATTTATGCGCCCGACCGTCCAAACCGAACGCGTGCTTAACAAGCTCGCGGTTAGCGATGGGCAGCGACGCCTCGCGTCCGTTCCAATTCCGTTCCAATTCCGTTTCGTTCCTCCCAACGTCGCGATCCCTCGACGTTGCGCGATCGTTGCGTGTTCGCGTTCAGTGTTCTCCGAGTCCTCGATCCGAGTCTCGATACGTGGCCAATTTCCGGACGATCCGACGGAAGATTGGAAGATCGACGGGAGAAAGGGACTCGCGAGCGGTGTCTCAGCCATCGCTGGTCGAAAGCGGGCCAGGTACCGGCACCGACTATTGCGCGGTGGAAAATGTCGGGCCGCGATCCTATACGATGTCCGGAAGACTTATGCGTCTGCGCGGCAACGGTTACGAGGCGGACGGAACAGGAAGAGAGAAGAGAGGGGGGACAACACGGAGAGAGGTGTATCGGGCGGCGTACAAATTTATGCCGGTGCCACGCTAATGTCCGCATACGTTTTCTCTTTCGGTCCACGCGGGACTCGACCTGTCGTCGAAACGAATCTCCCGGCCAGAGAGCGAACCCCGCTTTCGATCCAGAGAGAAGACGAGAGAGAGAGAGAGAGAGAGAGAAAGTTTCTTTCCAATTTTTATACACGCTAGAGTGTAATAATATCCTAATATACACGGAACGTTTTCTTCGATTACGCGTTCCATTATCCGCGCACAACGTTTCGTAGCCGTGTTTACATGCAACGTTTAATTGCAATGTTTAATCGCAATGTGTAAATACAACGTATTTAGATGTAATAAATACTTTCTTGTGTTTGGCCGGTTAAACGCAATCAAGTAAACAAAAACGCGTAGTTTCAACTATCGAAGAGAAATATAAAGTGATTAAAGATCTTTTGAATGATGGTGAAAGTGTAAACGAAATTAGCGAGAATCTACGCAGCTGCTTACGATAAAAAATTTACTTGCGACTTGGTGGTTATAAAGATACGGGACTCTTAGAGAAACTGTCAATTTTGTTCGTCTCTACTCGAATAAACAAAGTTTAACTCGTTTATTCCGAAATATCTTTCCAAAAATTCGTGCGCGATCTCGCGTTACGCGATTCAACGCGTATACATCCTCCATACATTTACACGGACTCGGTGCGTAAAATATTCCGGCCGTGTAAAAAGACGCGCGCTGGTCGAGCGGAAGGCTGGGATTCGCAACACGCATAATTTGCACCCCGTTGCGCCATATACGTAAGTAGGTTGCCAAGTTGGGACGCGCAACGAAGACGTAGGTAAATAAAGCGCTCTCGAGAGTGCCCTTTTCCTCCTCGGAGGAGGAATTTCCTCTCCAACATCTTTTTTCCACTCTCCTCGAGGCGAATCTCTCTCCCTCTGTATACGGATTCGTTTCATTCAAAATCGATCTCCCGAGATTCGGCATCTTACGTTGCGCGATCGGTATTTTGCAAACTCGAACATCGATAATTGATCTTAACGCGCTGAAATCGATAGTCGACGAGTAATAAACGAGCACATAATTATAATCTCGGCCTTTTTTAATTATTCGATTTACGGTCCAAAAAAAAAAAAGCGAACTAAAAATTATAATTTTTATTCAAAATAATCGATTCGGCATTCGGCTCGATTATTTCGTCGAAAGCGCGAACAGAATTATTTCCACGATCGAAGGAAAAAGACTTATCCGGGATTTATCCGAAACCGAGGAGGTGGAAACGGATTCCGCCGGCCAATTCCTTCGCAATTACCGTCTTGCAATCGGTAAAACTCTAAGCACTCTGACGAGCCGCGTGTACCTCTCGCCGGTGTAATTTCACCTTCGATTCCCTGCCTGCCGGCTAGCTGCCCCCGCGAGCCCTCCGCCGCCTCCTTTTCCCTCGCGCCGTTGTAATTTTGCGAAAGAGGAAGTGGAGGGGGAGGGGGGGGGAGACGAAGCGCGAGCAGCTCGGTAATCAGCACGTACCTCATCTTCCGCGATAACGCGAAATTCCACGCGTGCGCGTTCCTTCCTTCTCCCCTCCCCTCTTTCCTTCCTTCGCAGGCCAATCTACGAGCGAGGGGGAGACTTAGAAATTCCACCCGTCGCGACGAGTCGGATGCCGTTCGAACATTCGGATATTTCCTTCTCGAGCGTGGTCGGTTAACAAGTTGCCGTGTCGTGCGCAGCCTACGCAACGCACTTGACGGATATTAAACGGAATTGGTTAACAACGATACGATACGCGTTATACAGCAGTCGATGTACACAGCATTAAACCCCCCTATTTCTCTCCTTAATCGCGAATCGATCGCGACGCATCGAAAAATTATACACCTCCGATGCAAAGTTGCACACATTTCCGAGAACACTCTTCACCTGCTCTACCTCTTTCGGTTTCCCGGAACTTCTCCATTCCCCGGAATCGCTCGAACGTAATTTAGGGCGACCGTGTAGGGTACGCGTGCGTGGTGGTTACAACGATTCAACGACAGCCGATTATCGCGCAAGAAACGATCGCGACCGTATGAGACAGAGAATAACGGAGGAAAAGAAACGATTCGCGGGAAATTTTCGAGAGACGCGACGGTAAATTACCGGCGCGCGGTGAAGGAATCCGGGCGAGGCGGTATCGGTGGGTCGCATCTCCATGACAAATACTGGCAGGACCCCGCAGATCCTATCTAAGGTTTATCCCCCCGCAGATAAATGGGCCCGCGTGTAACGCCGCTCCACGTGTACGTACTCCGATATTTCCCCGCAAGAAACGCGTCTGATGAAACGGAAGCTGGGGCCCTCCTTTCTTGTCTCATGCATGCCATGTTTTCTTTCTTCTGTCCTCGTAGTCGCTTTCCAGCGAATAAGTGCCCCCTCCTTTCTTTCCACGATCACAACCGAATTCGAATCACTTCCCGTTGTTCGTTTTTAAGAAGAGTCGGGGGGATACGGCGTTCGAGAAGCCTCGTTCGCTTTTCGCGTTCCTAGCTTAGGAGATCGGCCGTCGAAGCGAAGAATTACGTAATAAAATCTTGAGTTTGAAAGAAAAAGGGGAGGGCGGGGAAGAACTTATTTGCACGCTTAATAAAACGCGAGATAAAAAATGGTATTACCCCTTTATCGCTATACACGGTTGTAAATAAAACCTATTTCATCGTAAGAAACCTAATCATCCCCCGTTACGAGGCGAGCAAGCGTTAACTCTTCTTTCTCCTCGGTGTTTCGAAAACTGGACGACCTCTCTCTCTCTCTC